ACTTAAATTGCTAAATGCTACAACGGTGAGTCCACAAATCACAAGTCTGTGGCGGACGGCCAACAATGCGGTTCTTCCTTCGTTCTCCAATGCTTGTGTAGCAGGCAAAGGATGTCGAGGTTGGCACGCACACGCACACGGAAGGATAAGAGACCTGAAGATGCTTCTGTCAGCGGAAGCTCTGAAGTGGATCGATAAGCATCACCCAAGCACACAAATGTGAAAGTCGGAGTAAAAGAGAACGAGAATATAGGGGGACGACTCTGCTGGTAACTAACGAATACATACAGAATAAGAAAATATTATGGGATGTGGAATGGCGTTACAAGTGGAGGGTGTTTTCTTATGTCTGATCAGTTACCGGTGAGAAATACAGTGCTGACATCGAATGTGGAACAGCGATGTGAGCGACGACGACGACGGCGGGAAGGGGGTCAGCGGGTGCGAGGGACGAGGACACCGGTTTCGGGCCATGCGACACACCAATCACACATCACTTGAACTTGCTTCACGATCATGTAAAAGCAACTAACATCATCGCATCTCTTAGAACACAATCCCCTGTCACAACACAGCAGTCAGGTGCACTTTCGGACATGACTGGGCGTAGTCAACATCGGCCCTGGCTTCGCAAGTGGCCACTGATGCCCGAGACAGCAACTTGGGATTCTGTGCATAATAAATCCCTACTCTTAGCGATATTTGCCTTTGGCTTTAACCCGGTATTCAATCTGGTGACTGGAGGTTTCCGAGTTGAACCACTATCTGGACCGCTACAAGCCAGACATGACGTCCCGTGATGACAAGCCTCGACCTACCTATTGGACGGCTGCTGCATTAGTAAGCTGACCTCAATCCAGCTGGTCATTGGCTCTTAAGGCCAACTCACAAGGACCTCAATGTGGTGACTGTCGTCAGGCCACCCAAGGGGATGGACATGCCGTCTAACAGCCATATTCTTCCTGCCTTTTCTTCACTCCTGTACAGAATAAACTGCTCCTTCCACTCCGACCTCCCACCTCTTCCCTTCTCCTAAGAAACCGGGCCTTTCATCGTAGTGGCAAGGGTTAACCTACCTTCCTCGATACTCTCACACGAAGGTGGATGACAAACGTACACACAGCGAGACAGCGAACTGGTTCAGAAGACGATGTTACAATTGATAGGGACGCCTTATCAACATTTGGCTACTGAAAAAGGCGTCGGCTTTCTTTCTCAAAACGTTGCTAGTTTTTTTCTTCCGGTAATTGTCAGTCTAAAGAACTGTTAGCCAGATGCTCGGTGGTTACAGTCTAAACTAATTTTTAACTCACAGTTTCAGCCATGTGGGCTATTTGAAATTCACTTCAATTTCCCCAGTATTCAACTCAGAAAGACGTTGGATGAAACTTACCGTGTCCGTCAGGGGAAGCCAGGTTTCACGGATTCTAGTAAAGGTTTCCAAATGGGTAAGATCGTACACAATTATGAAGGCCTAAAAATAAAAAAATCGAGCTTAAGGAGGCTATGAAAAAGTGCTAATTAATTAGTATATTTTAAGTTATAAGAAAAACAGGTAATTATCATGCCCTTGAACATCGTGATCTGCTCGTATTAAGCCATTAAGTTCTGAGGAAAAGGAAAAGCTGAAATTTTAAAAGTGGCATAACAACCGGAAGGTAAAGGGGAAACGCTGAGGAACTCCCTCATGGGTCGGACGGGCAGTCCATGCGAGCTGAAACCCGCCGGTAAGTCCACTTGCAGGGGTGACCCACCGTCACCCGTAGAGATGGCCGGTAGTGGGATGACCTTCAGCGATAGCTAACGGTGAAGTAAGCGGGCACTACTAGCGTGGTTCGACACCCAGTTGCCGATTTGGTTGATTATGAAAAGTCCTGGACCAATTTGGCACACTTTGCATTCACGCAGCACGGCCCTCAGTCACAATCTTAGAACTAGAGTCTAGGCAGATAGCCACATTCGAATCCAGAAGTCGCCGTTCCACAACCGCCGTTCCCCAGCCAGCAACCGTTGGTCAGAATGTTCCCAACCGCTCATCGCCCGCCATTGGCAGGAATGTCTCGGAACCACTAGAATCCCCTAGGGAAGCTAGAGTTTACGAGTTAAGGAATCTGTAGCGTCTAAGTAGTGATTGCATTATTATCGTAAGGCCAATCTCCCAAGTTGTAGAAAAAAAGCCGAGGATACCTGTGGGAAGGATTTATTGTATACAGAACTCCCAGTTACTGGCTCAGATGGCAGCGGCCACTGGCGAATCCAGGGCTAGTGCTGACTGCTTCCAGTCAGGCTTGAGAGAAAATGACACGGTGGTAGCATTTTCTTTTGTAGGATTGCGGAGCAGGTTCAAGTGATTTGCTATTGGTGTGATGGAATTTTTCCGAGGGGATGTCGCATTGATCCTTGTTTTGTTTTGGTGCGTGTAGGGAAAGGGACATGTTCAACTGACGCTTCCACAGTCGCAATTACCTGGAAGCACGTGTGTGGATCCGAGGAGATATCGGTCAAGTGTCTACAAGTCAGCGCGTCTGAAAGTGCTGACCACGATAGTGGATGACCTTGAGGCAACTGGCCTTGAATAAGGACGCCAGGCACAGTAGTGTTTTGCATCGGTTACATGTCCCCTGCTACTAAAGGCCCTTAATAAAATTTTTGTTTTCAGGAACGGGCTTCCTCGTCTTCCTCCGTCTACCGAATGGAGTATAACAACAATAATCGAGATCCTCCTCGGAAACCCGGTCATAGAGGACAGTCGTACAATTTTCT